CTAGATAGACAAAGATGAAAGAGAAAGTACAAAAGACTTACAAGATAGATCAGAGCTCAAGATCGAAATTGAATTGAATGTTTATGAAGATTGTAGTTGAAACAGGCTGAGATCGAAATGGAGTTGGTGTAGTTAGAGACTGAATTGATTGATATTGAAGTGAAGGTGGTTAGAGTTGAGTAGTGATCGAGATAGAGGGGTCCTATGGAAGCTTTTGTTTCAACTTATCAAATAGATACCTAGAAGCGAAATGAAAAGGGAATCAAAATTTTAAACAAAGAAGATAAAGTTAGTAAACAAGAACAAACAAAGATAAAGAAATGAAAGAACTTACTTAAATGAAGATCAAGATCAAAGGTCAGAATCGAAACTGAATCCATCAATCTATTCATCAGATACAATAAGAATAGAAAAAAAAAGGAAACAGAATAGACATTCGATTTTGAGGTCTGAAGTTAAAACTAATGAAAAACTTAATAGAAGGATCGATTTTGAGGGTTTAAATTGAGATAGAGAAAGAGGGTGGTGTCAGTGTTGTGCAAGATGAATAGTAGAAAGAAAGTTAAGAGAGAAAAGACTTACATATTTATCAAGATCTAAATCAAAGATCAGAATCGAAATTGAAACTAAATAGGAATTCGATTTTGAGGTCCAAAGTTAAAACTAATGAAAACAAAGAAAGGAGGTAAAGGAGTCAGTATGAGAACAAACAAAGAAGTGAATGGGAAAAGAAACTTACTTAAATGATGTCAAAATCAAAATCTAAATACATAAAGTCAAGGATGGGATAGTGTAGAAGGAGAGAAAAGAAATTGAACTTACATTGTAAATCGATGGTGTGAAGATCGAGCTGGAGCTTGAGGATGAAGTGCGATCGAGAGGTCCTGAAAATCGAAATCTAAACAACTAGAGAGAAGAGATGAGTGAAAGAAAAAAAAAAAAAGGGAGTCAACACAGATCATGAACAAGTTAATAAAAGGATGAGCAGTAAAAAACAGGGTACTTAGCTGTTTTGAAATAAAACTAAATCGAAAATCAAAGTGAATCTGGTGATGTCGTGATTTGAACATAGAGGCCCGATCGGAGATGAAGTCGAAATTGGAAAGGGAGGAGGGAGTGATCAGGAGGTTTTTTCTTAAATGTATCGGTCTCGTTTTTTTTGTCTAGTTTGTGTAGGAATCTGTGGTATTGTTTTTCTTTTTTTGTGTGATCCATCCAAGGGATCATCAAGTGTTCTTTTCGTGTGATTCGCGTATTAGTGTGGATCAAAGAGTGTTCTAGTGTTAGTTGTTAAAGTGTTCTGATTGTTGTTATCGGCTTCGTGTCCGTGTCTAAGTGTTTTAATCGTGTGTCCAAGTGTTCTTGACCTCATATAAGGTTTACTTTAGAGTGTTCCATCAAAGAATCAGAATATCATCGTTAGTTAGTGTGTCCGATTAACATCAAGTTCGTCAGGACTCTCTCTATCTCATTGAACGACAACGACCGATCGATACTTAAACATTTTCTTTTATTGTAG